CATAGCGACCCCTCCTTGGGTTTCTGAGGCAGTATCACTACGGAAGTAGGATTGCCCAACCTTCCGAGGAGTGGCTTATATATATAGACATATACATATATATATATATATATGTATATATATATATATATACACACACACACATATATATATATACATATATATATATATATATACACATACACACAGTACAATTGAACAGGAAAAATTAGAACACACCTTAATCAATGGAGATTTTTTTTCACTATCTTGCATATTTATATCGCATTGTTTATCAATTAAGAGAGAGACAATATCTGGAAATCCATTAGCGCAGGCCAGATGCAAAGGTGTTCTATATCAATATAACAAAGCACAAAGTTAGAGGAAAGTCTTAGTTTGAAAAGTCAATTATTGGACCAAAGATCAAACTATATCATATTTGTTAAAGTATCTGTTCATGTGCTTATTTACATTTACCCAAAATTTAGATTATCGTTGCTTTTTACCAAAATAAAAGGGCTATGCAAATGCCTTGGATGTCAAATATTTTACCTGTTTCCCTTCAAGGAAAATTTAACAATAATGATGTGAAAAGGGTTCTTTTTTAAACACCAGAAATGGTATCTGGACCTTGGGAAGGATGATAAAATCAGCTATAAATCTTTATAAACTTTAGAAATGATCTTCAAAATCCAAGATACATCTAACACTTAACAGGAAGAAGGGACATTGCCTGTATTCAACTGCATCCTGCTCCACATTGCGTGTCGTGTTTCTCCCTCTTGGCTCAGCTATTACAGTTAGCATTAATATCTGACAAATAAGCTCAACATAACACCAAGAATTCTCTCAGTTGTAGATCTCAACCTAATTTTAAGCTATTTCACTAATACATACCTTTCTAAGAAGCCTACTCAGAAACCAAGAAGTCGCTCAGAAACCAAGCACAACTTCATGAATAATGACAGAGCACTAATTAGTTCCACTTAAACTTTTCGTTTTCAGCCTTGCCCTCAATAAAACTATTTTTAATGTGATATTACTATATCAAAGAATTGATGCATTTGAAATATGGGGTTGGCAAAGAATATTGAATATACCTGGACCACAAGAAGAACAAACAATTCTGTCTTGGAAGAAGAACTGCCAGAATGTTCCTTAGAAGCGAGATTGTGAGACTTCATCTCACAGGTTTTGGACATGTTATCAAGAGGGACCAGTCCTTGGAGAAAGATACCGTGCTTGGTAAAGCAGATAGTCAGCAAAAAAAGAGGAAGACCCTCAATGAGACAGACTGGCACACTGGCTGCCACATGGGCTCAAAAAACAGCAACGATTGTGAGGATGGTGCAGGACCAAGCACCGTTTCATTCTGTTGGACATGGGGTTGCAATGGGTTAAAACTGCTTGACGAGTAGCTAACAAAAACAACAATTATTATATCCTCTTTTTGGAACAACTTTATAATACAGAGTTCAAAAATCAATAGACCATATCCCAAACAAGAAACCTTAGATACCATTCCTCCACTTTACTTAGGTTCCCCAAAGTACTCTGAGTGTGTAAACAGACCTGCCATTAGTAGTAGCAAAAAGATGGCCCTCAAGGACTTAAAAATAAGGTAACTTCCAAAGAATTAAACTAGGAATATCAACACTTGATGATGTAACTCACCATCTATAGACGTAAATCAAGAAAATATAAAAAGATCTCTGAACAACTTGGGAATGTTAAAATTCCAATCAAAGTTATCTCAGTGTAATCTCTGGAAGGCAGGGCTACAATGTAATGATAGTATAAAAAGCAGACATCTAGTCAATTATATTATTGTCTAGCTGTTGTTGTTGTTATGTGCCGGGAGCTCTGGTAGCATAGTGGCTAAGACACTTGCCTGCTAACCAGACGGCTGGCAGTTCAAACCCACCAGCCACTCCTCGGAAGGAAGGTTGGGCAATCCTACTTCCGTAGTGATACTGCCTCGGAAACCCAAGGAGGGGTCGCTATGAGTCGGGTTTGACTCGACGGCACATAACAACAACAACAGCTAGACAATAATATATTAGGGAAGTAACATATTACCATTCAGGATCAGAAACAACTCAGGGTACGGTTTTTTGACCAGGATAGCTTTCTCTCAGAAGTGCCTCTCTCTGGCCGTCAGCCTCTCAGCTCCATTACCCCTTAGCCTCTGCTCTTCTCGGGGGAGTGTTAAAAAGCCCTTTTTAGCTCTTCCAATAGGTTCTCAAAAAAGCAATATTGTCAATGTCGTTGACAAGAACACGCTTCTGCCAACAAGCCTCCTGTCTGAAGGCACTAAGCTTTCCCAATTCTTTTCTGCAGGTCTCTTGGTTCTGTTGGTCCTGCCACCTCCGCTGCCACCATTTCTCTGCCACTGCTTCTTGATGTCTCATGTCACAGCTTTCTGTCTCCTGGATCAAGGAAGTTCAATGCAGGAATCTTCGGTCCAAAAGATACACTCTACTCCTGCCTCTTCTTTCTTGATGTTAGTGACAGCCCCCTCTCCACCAATGGGATGGCTCATTTTAAGCCTTATTTGCACAGTACCACCCCCCATAAAGGTGTCATGTACCTTATTTACATTATTAGCAAGCTATCCAATCCCCCAGACTATGGATTGCACAGTCCCACCCAGTCACCTGGTGGGAGTCAACAAGACTATGGCTAGAAAGCTATACTAAATAACTCACCGTATCACACTGGAAAAGGCATTGCAGGCAAAGGCAGCAGGAAGTTCAAAGACCCTAAATCATTTTCTGAATTTCTGTGGAAAAGTAAGGCCAGTGTAGCTGAAGATAAATGAATGAAAGGGAGAGTGGTAGGCAGTAAGATTAGAAAGGTAACTGGGTGGAGGTGAAGGTCATGTAGGGCTATAGAGGCCATTTTAAAGACTTTGTCTTTACCCCTGAGATGGAAAGCCATTGGAGGTTGGTAAGGAAAGGAATAACATGATTTGAATACCTTTAAGCATCATTCTGGCTACCATGTTGATGATAAACTTGAAAGGAAAAAGGACAGCAGACCAGTTTATAGGCCATGCGGTAATTCTGGCAAAACATGATGGTGACTTTGACTAATGTGGTAGCTATGGAGGTGGAAAGAAAGGGTTGAATTTTAAATATTTTTTGAAGGTAGATCCAATAAGATTTAGTATTGAATCAATTGGAAGATGTAAAAGAACAGGAGGAGTCAAAAAGGGCTCCAGCAGTGCTGTTCTGAGACTAGTGGCTTTCCCAAGTCAAATGTTAAATTCTCTGGAATTTTTTCAGCTAATTGACATCACACTGGGAACTTGAAACCTGCCACAGAATTAAGTCATGTCAAGATCATCCATGACATCTATGAAGCTATTCAGTGGAGTGGTGTGAGATAAAGGTGGGATAGAGATTAGACAGCTCTGTTTTAGAGGAAGCTCTGGTGGCGTTGTGCCTAAGGCATTTGACTGCTAACCAGAAGGGTGGCGGTTCAAACCCACCAGCCACTCCTTGGAAGGAAGATTGACCAATGTATCTCCATAATGATACTGCCTCAGAAACCCAAGGAAGGGTTTATATTAGAAGAAAAAGAGGTAAAACCACCAGCAAAATGAACACACATCTTCTTCCTAACCAGTTATTTAATTATGATGAAAAATGGTATTTTGTATAACCTGTGACTTGGAAATTTTCCCAAAAAACATTTTAAGGCAGCCACAGATAGCACATATTTCCAGACATTAATGTCAAACATAAGTTCATTTCCCAACATATATAATTAGTTTTCTTTTTGAAGTAAGTGATTATGGATGGGATTTTTGCAGTTGAAAATTTTCATAAGTGATCCACATTAAAAAATACTGCTTGGTATTTCAATGTCTTAAAATCTTAATAAGCACTGTTCTAGATGCTTCCTTCTCTTTTCTAATACATTAGTAAAACAGGGTCATCCTTGGGATGGCTGGGGACAATCTACATCAAAGAACAAAACAGCAGGATGGAAAAAGGGTGACTGCACAGTGGAGATAAAGGTGGGTGGGAGGAGTAGACAAAATGAGGGAGGGCAGAAACGGTTTAAACCCAAAATATGAAGGGAAGAAACAAAAAAAACCATTGACATCTAGTCTATTCCAACTCACAGGGAATCTCTTTGGGTTTCCAAGGCTATGCATCTTTATGGAAGCACACTGCCCCATCTTTCCTCCACAGAGATGCTGGTGAGTTTGAATCATTGACCTTTTGGTTAGCAACCAAATACCTTAACCACTACACCACCATAGCTCCTTTAATGTCCAGGCAAGTATGTTTAAAATAAAATAACTGAAAGCTGGAATGTGCCCCTGTGGTTGTCCTTGTGGTTGGTTACCAGGCGACCTTTCAACTCTTGAGAAACCCCAGAATGACAACCAACGGAGTCCTCTAGACAGGTCCCACTCCGGGGTGGAGGCCGCAGTGACTCCGCCTTCCCCAACATGTTGCCTTCATTACCCACTCCCCCTTCTGCTCTGGTCACCTGTGTTCTTTGTCCCGCACGTTTACATCATGTTTCTTGAGCTGAAGACACTTTTGCACCGTCTCCAAATCTCCGACTGAGGCAGCTTTATGAAGCTTCTTTAAATCCCTATCTCGCAAGTTGTAACCCGGTTGGGACAGGAGGCCTGAGCGAGACCTGGCCGGACCTATATACTGCAGGTCTGAGGTGCAGCTGCGGGACTCATCCTTCCCACGCCAGGAGCAGAAAAGCTTCTTCATAGCGGCATGGGTGACAGTGCTCCAACTGCCCCTGGCCGTAACGGCAGCACCTAACAGACCACATGCACCAGCACCTGGTCACCCAGCACGTGGGCCTCTCAAACCTGCTCCTCGTCCCAGACGCAGAGTTGAAGTGGGCGGGAAACCAGAAGGCGGAAGGGCCCCAGAACAGAATCACGTAGAACTAAGTGCCAGGGGCTATTCACCGGTTTGAGTCACAATGTCCCCAGCCACGTTGGGACCACGTTTCCGGGATACATGTGCCAGGATTCTTACCCACAGATTTCCCATTAGATCTGCGCCTTTGGATGGAAAACTACTACTTTTCTATCAAAATACCTCCTCCTTCAAGGCTTGACCTAATGGTTTGAAGCTTTCAAACTGAGGTCAGCCTCTGTGTAGTGGGATGTATCTCTTCCTGTGACTTTGGGCGTCAGCCAACCCTTCCATAGTCTCCATGGTCACATGCCATAACTTTTCTTTAACAGTAACTGAAATTCCTCCATTCTCAACTTCAACATACCTTTTAAACAAAATTTCCCATATGCCCAGTTTATTTTCTCTAGTCACAAAAATCCAACTCACTGCCTCTACAATCCACTAGTCCTCCCATCTTTTCAAACCTACTTTGACCACCCCACCCCATGTCTTCATTTCCCTACTTGCATTAAATTATCTAGTTGATCATTATAATCATTTTCATGCATACTTCTGAACCCCATTCCTTTTCTTGTCTGCCTCAATGGCAACACTGGTTAAATGTAACCACCCATTTGAAACTTTTCTGCCCTGAGTGACAAGTTTGAACGTAGGCCTAACAACCTGCATCACCCCCTATCCCCTAGCTGGTGGAAACACAGAACACTCTTGCCACATCAAAACAAGCTCTTTAATAATAATAATAATAACTCATCTAGTTTTACTGATAATCCACAGCAAAGTTTGTTCAAATGGATGCTAGTCTGGTGAGAACCATTGTCTCTTGTTTGTCCTTAGTTGCAAGGCGGTTTTAAACAGAGGAGGGCAAAAATTAAGAAAGCTAGCAGTCATCGAAAGGGCATTGGGGGCGAGTGGTTAAGTGTTCCACTGCTAGCCGAAAAGTCAGTGGTTTGACCCCATCAGCTGCGCTGCAGGAGAAGGATGTGTCATTCTGCTTCCATAAGGGCCAGGAGCTGTGGTGGCATAGTGCCTAGGGCATTTCACTGCTAACCAGAAGGCTGGTGCTTCAAACCCACCAGCCACTCCTCTGAAGGAAGAGTGGGCAATCTACTTCCGTAGAGCCTTGGAAACCCTGTGGATATGCCAGACATAGCATTTTAATTATTGTGAATTAATCTCCCTATGTTTTAGTTGTTTCAATAAAAATGAGATAATAGTACCTGTTGCAATGGGCAATTGTGAAGATGAAATAAAATAATAAGCATTATTAAGTGTATGTATATTATTAAGTATAATCCTATAAGTATTAGGATAAACTCAGTGCCATCAAGTCAGTTCCGACTGATAGCACCCCAACACACTCATACTCTTTTTTTTTTTTTCATTAAATGACAGTGTTGTGTTCCCACACCACCCCCTACCCAGTCCTGGCTTCTTTTCCTTTTATGTTTAACATATTTCAAATGTAATAACAATAGGGTACCATTTTCATTGTATGGTATTGATAAAACCAGTACATATAGGAGAAAAATGTATTTACAGTATAATTGTAAGTATAACAGTATAACACTAAGGAGCTCTGGTGGCACAGTAGGTAAGGCATTTAGCTGCTAACCAGAGGTCATTAGTTCAAACCCACCAGCTGTTCCATGGAAGGAAGATGAAATAATCTACTTCCGTAAAGATTTATAGCCTTGGAAACCCTATGAGGGTTGCTATGAGTCAGAATGGACTTGATGGCAGTGGGTTGTAGGATATAATTGCATTACCCAAATATAAAGAAAAAAGAAGCACCAGATGATATAGATGAAGAACACTGGAGTGGAGATAAGAGGAGGAGATTTTGACCCTAGCTATAAGCAATACTTGATGTGTGCAATCTACAAAAACAAAAACAAAAAAGTTTGTTTTAAAAGGAACATGGACCAAAGACATGGAAGGAAAATTGAATAATGAAAAATTAATTTAAAAATTGGATGTATTTTACTTTTAATGCTAAACATAAGAAAACAGCTCTAAAAGATGTTTTGAAGAATATTTCTCAACACTTTTGCTCCCTAAAATGATGCTAGTAGGCAGCAGATGGTGGACTGTCAACTAATGAGAAAACTCTGCTGGTGAATTACTATTTTGTCTTTATCCTTGTTGTTGTTATGTGCCGTCAAGTCGGACCCGACTCATAGCAACCCCTCCTTGGGTTTCCGAGGCAGTATCACTACAGAAGTAGATTGCCCAACCTTCCTTCTGAGGAGTGGCTGGTGGGTTTGAACCACCAACCTTCTGGTTAGCAGTCAAATGACTTAGGCACTACCCTACCAGAGCTCCTTGTCTTTATCCTTAGAGTTATGTAACCTATATAGGTTTTGTTGATGTTGTTAGGTGTGGTCAAGTCAGTTGCAACTCATAGTGTCCACATGTGCAACAGAACAAAACGCTGCTTGGGCCTTTCTCATACTAACAATCACTGCTGTGTTTTGGCCATTGTTACAGCCCCTGTGTCAATCCGTCTCATTGAGGGTCTTCCTCATTTTCACTGACCCTCTACTTTACCAAGCATGATGGCCTTCTCCAGGGACAGGTCCCTCCTGATAACATGCCCAAAGTATGTAAGACAAAGTCTTGCCAACCTCGTTTCTAAGGATCATTGTGGCTATACTTCTTCCAAGACAGATTTGTTTGCTCTTCAGGAAGTCCATGGCATGTCCAATATTCTTTGCAAACACCCTAACTGAAAAGCATCAGTTCTTCTCCAGTCTTCCCTATTCATTGTCCAGCTTTCACATGCATATGAGGCGACTGAAAATGCTATGGCTTGGAACAGTTGCATATTACACCTCAAGGTGACATCTTTGGTTCTTAACATTTTAAAGAAGTCTTTTGCAGCAGATTTGCCCAATGCAATACATTGTTTGATTTCTTGTCTGTAGCTTCCATAGGTGTTGATTGTGAATCTAAATAAATGAAATCCTTGAGAAATTCATACTTTTTCTGTTTATCATGATGTTGTTTATTGGTCCAGTTGTGAGGTTTTTTTTTCCCCTTTATGTTGAGGTGTAATTCATACTGAAGCTGTAGTCTTTGGCCTTCAGCATTAAGTGTTTCAAGTCTTCTTCATTTTCAGCAAGCAAAGTTGTGTCATCTGCATATCACAAGTTGTTAATGAGTCTTCCTCTAATCCTGATGCTGCATTCTTCTTCATATAGCCCATCTTCTCAGATTATATGCTCAACATGCAGATTGAATAAGTATGGTGAAAGGATACAACCCTGATGTACACCTTTCTTGATTTTGAACCACACACTATCCCCTTGTTCTGTTTGGACAAATGCCTCTCAGTCTATTGTGCTCTCTTAAGCACAATTAAGTGTTCTGGAATTCCCATTCTTTGCAATTTTATCCAAAATTTGTTATGATCCACACAGTCAAATCCCTTTGCATAGTCAATGAAATACAGTAAACATCTTTCTGGTATTCTCTGCTCTCAGCCAAGATCCTTTTAACATCAGCAGCAATATCCCTGGTTCCATCTTCTCTTCTGAATCTGGCTTAAATTTCTGGAAGTTCGCGTCTATGTTCTGCCACAACCATTTTTTAATTGGTATTGTTATTAAGTGCCGTCGAGTCATTTCCGACTCATAGTAACCCCATGCACAGCAGAACGAAACACTGCCCAAGCCCGCGCCAGCCCCACAATCCCTGCTATACTTGAGCCCATCATTGCAGCCACCTTGTCAATCCATCTCGTTGAAGGCCTCCCCCTCTTTTGTCGACCCTCCACCCTACCAAGCATGACATCCTTCTCCAGGGAATGGTCCCTTCTGACAACATGACCAAAATAGGTGAGATGAAGTCTGGCCATTCTTGCTTCCAAGGAGCATTCTGGCTGCACTTCCTCCAGGACAGATCTGTTAGTTCTTTTAGCAGTCCATGGTACTTTCAGCATTCTTTGCCAGCACCACAACTCAAAAGCATCAACTCTTCTTCGGTCTTCCTTATTCATTGTCCAGCTCTCACATGCACATGAGGCAATTGGAAATATCATGGCTTGTGTCAGGCACACCTTAGTCCTCAAGGAGATATCCTTGCTCCTCAGCACTTGATACAGTTCCTTCGCAGTTGACTTTCCCAATGCTACATGTCGTCTAATGTCTAATTTTTTAATTATCTTCAGCAAAATCTTACTTGCATACAATATTAATGATTGTTTTGGTTACCTCATGCCACTCTAACAGAAATGCACCACAAATGGAATGGCCTTAATAAAAAGTTTATTCTCTTACAATTTTGGAGGCTAAAGTCTGGGTTCAACATGCCAGCTCTAGGGGCTGGATGAAAGCTCCTCAACCTTGGGTTTCAGCTCTGCCTCTTCCTCCTCGACCACTGGAAATGGAGTCTTTTTTTAACTCAGGCAGCTGCTAGCTCCTGAGGCTGACAAACCCAAGGTTGACAAATAAAATAGCACAATCCCAAGATTGCCAAACAACATAACAACCACTAGTTCAAGTCCAGAGACAGTCCTAAGATCAGTAGAAAACATGGCAGGCTGCTACATGAAAATTCAGCTACATGCAGGGTCCAAGAATGTCAAAAAGCTACAGACCATTCCCTAAGTTTCTCCTTATGTACTGGAAGCAGACCACATCCCTAAAGCAGCTACTCAGCTGCTTGCAGCACTCCACCATGGAGATGATTGCCAGTCTCATCATGGGAAATAATGACCACTAACTGCCCAGCCACTCAAAACCAGGCCTAGCAACCACAGTGACATTGTTTGATAATTTCCACATTCCATTGGATCACCTTTCTTTGGAATAGGCATGTACATGGCCTTCCAATCAGTT